TTTCACGCCAGAGGGAGGATTTTGCCCGTTTCAGCCCCAAATCCTCCCCCCTCCCCGGCTCGGCGCCGCGTTATTTAACCTCCCGAACCACCTCCGGTGAAAACACAAGAGCGCTCTGTCGCCCTTATCGCCGAAGCCGCCGCCAGATAAGGGTTGTCAGAGGCTTCGCTCCCATTGAGTCCCTCGGGGGCTATTTTTTTGGGAAGGGGGGAAGGGTTCGTGTCCTGTTTTCACACCACGACGGGAGGAGGAGGAGGGTGGAGCAGGTTGGAGCAGAGGCAGGTTTAAAAATCTCTCGGCTCCATCTCCCCCACATAAAAAAAGGAGCTGGTGGGAACGCGGAAATGAGAGCTCTCCCCAGAGAATAAGCCAAAGCGACCTCCTTCCTCCACCCGTTTTTTAATTTAAAGCCCCAAAAGGCTCAAAAAAAAAAAAGCAAAAAAATTACAGCTGCCTCTTTCGACTCGGATTTGAGCTGGCAAACGTCATGGGGTGAAAAAGAGAAGCGCTCACCGCGAGGCACCAGTGAACCCCGAGGTGGATGGGCACCAGGAGGAGATCCACGGAGAAGATGTCGACTTTTTTCGTCCACCGTTTGACGGCCTGGTAGCCCGCGGTTTTTAATTTGGTGAAGAAGAAAGTGTTGAAAGCGTGAACGGCCGGCAAGCCCTTCTCTTTGCTCCGCTCCATCAGCAAATTCATGTAGAAGTTGATTACCTGGGAAAAGGAAAAAGCACGTGAAGAGCTTAAGAGCGTCAAAGCTCGCACAAAACAGATTTGATTTTGTCCCCATCTGTTCCTACGAAGAGCTGACCCCTGGGGGGATTTACAACAGCTCATCAGCCTTAAAAACCTTCAAAAATCCAGAAAAAATTAAGAATAGAGTCTTCTACGTGTAAGATTTAGTGATTTTTTGCCCCGCTCACAGCTCTGCTTGATCCTGCTCCTCCCAGAGTCATTGTTTTCCCAATTTCCCAATCAAAACTACAAGTTTCGCCCGAAATTAAACGACTCCGGAGCCTCCTCACCTCATCGTTGAGCCAGTTGAGGTTATTGAGGGTCTGGATGTCTTTCCGAGTGATCGTTAAGCGAAAAGCTTCGCTGAGGACCTCGTCCTGGTTCCCGCCTCGGAACACGTTCTTGATTTCTTTCTCCATCTCCTGCGGGGAGGGACAGGGACGGCGTCGGAAGGGATTCGATTTTTTTTTTTGCTTCGCTCCTCGAGAGGTGAAAGCGCGAGGTCCGGGCGGGCTCACCTCGGTGATTTCGGGGAACTCCTCTTCGCCATCGGCCGATTTCGCGTCTTCTTTCTCTTCGGGGACCACCGTGACGGGGATTTCTTTCTCGAGGGGGACCCGAAGATTTAAATCCACCAGATCCTGCACGGAGTGTTCCTGCTCCTGCAACCGCTGAAGGAGAAACCTTCGAGTGAGGCAGCAGCCGCCGAGGGAGCCACGTGGGGCAAATTTCCTTCCCAGAGAGGGAACACAGAGAGAGCCCTCGCCACAGGAATGAAGGGGACAAACGCAAAATGAGGCAATTTTGGGTTATTTTCCCCCCATTTCCTATCTCAAACTGTTTTTTTTCGGAGCGGCTCGCCGTTACCTGGCT